TATTTTATTATATATGTGAATAGTCTTTGTAGTTCATTTTTGGTCACTCCTGCTTCTTTGCTCATATGCTTTATTCTTAAGTTATGTATCCTTTTGTCATCTTCTAGCCTTTGAATTGTTTTTTCCTGGTTTCTCATTATTTTTAAGAGATCTTTTCATTTGTGATCATAAATCATAAATATATCATAAATATATATATCATAAATCTCTCTTCAAGTTTCACAAGGCTCACTTTAGTTTCTATCAAGGCATTTTGCCAGTTTTCAATGGAGTTTTAGTTTCCTGGTAATCTCTTTGGATCTGTTTCATGTATTCTAGGTTATGTTTAAATTCTTCATCAGTTTCTCTTTGTTTTCTGAGTTCCTCCGTTCTTCCATCTGTGTTCTCCTGGGAGGGGCTTATCATTTCTTTAATTAATCTTTTTATATCTTGCCTCATTTGGATCAGAAGTATAGTTTTAAATTTGTCTGTGAGGTCATGAAGGTATTTCTTTATGTCCGCTGATGCTGTGTCTAGTATTGGATGGTTACTGCACTGGTTCTCTTCTGTATTTACTTCTCTTGGGCTTATTTTCCCAGGTTTGACAGCTGGAGATTTTTTAAAATTTCTATCTCTTGTCATGTTTCTGGTTTCTTTCAGACTGGTGTGTCCAGGAGGTCTCTGGCCCTCTCTGTATTGCTTAGGGTCTTTCTGAAGCGTGTTGACTGGGGTTTTGCTGCCCTCCCCAATTTGCTGTTATATGAGGTACACACAGGGATGCAGGGACAGTGCAGGTTAGCTTCGAGCCTCTGAGCCAGTCAATCCACAAGTTAGGCTGTACCTTGTGGATGTCACAGAGTCACAATTTTGTACCTGCTTATTGGGTCCCAACCAGAGGCATAGCACAGCCCCAGCAGATGCCGCCAGTTCTCTCTGTGCCAGGGGTGGCTGACTGATGTCATCGTGGCGCTGGGCTCTGCCCAACTCCAAGATATCCTCTACCAGTCTTCTCTGTGTCAGGAGTGGCTGAATGATGCCACCATAGTGTCAGGCTCTGCCTAACTCCAAGATGTCCTACTGCCAGTGATAGCAGCCATGGGAGCTAATCCCTAGCACTCACTGGGAATCACTGCAGTTCTTCCTTTTGGGTCCACTGCACATTGTGCCATGTGTCTTCCCTGTGCTCCCAGCACAGCATGGATCAGTCAGAAAACTGCACAGTGCCTGGCTTTGGCACCCAGGTGTATGGTCCTCTTGCAGTCTCCTCCGGCATGTGGCTCTGACTGCTTTGCAGGGCATCAGGTCCCAATTTCCAGCACTCATTGAGAGCCAATAATTCTCTTCCCCTTGGATCCACTGCTCACTGTGCTATATCCTCCCATTAAGGGCCTGGGATTTGCTGACTCCTGTTAGCAGCAGCTGTAATCTCAGTGCGACTTTGGATTGTCCGGGTGCGCCTAATACAGCATGGAACCGGTCTCAGTGAGCATGTCAGGTTTCAGTTCTCCACCTGTACTTTTCCTTCATCTTCCTATTTTTATTTTTCCCTTTGGTTACTGCCTTGGTTAATAAGAATTGTTATCTAATCATCTGGTCCTCTCCATGTTATCATATTCTAGCATCTGATCTGGTTTCTCTGCAGAGGCTCTCCATCCAACCCCCTAGCAAGCTGCCATTTTTTCTCTCCCCTGGGATATCATCTTATTTAAAAACCTTTTGCCTTAAAATGCTTAGACGAAGGAGAGGACACATGAATGAAAGAGCAGCCTCAGGGATCCGGGGCTCAAGTCCATGGCAGCTGGAAGTCTTCCAGGAGGGCCTCTGGCCTCCCTCCACAGTTAGCCCTGCCTTCCTAGTCTTCAGCGGCCTTGAATTTTTTTTAAACCTGGAATCGACCTTAGGACCTTGTGCTTGCCAGGGAGGAGTTGTGCCACTGAGCTAAATCCCTACCCCTGTTTTTTGAGTATCTTGAAATTCTTTGTCAGATTATTTATTTGAGCTTGCTCTGTTTTTGTTATGTGAGAAATGATTGCAGTAAATTTTCTTCTTAGGACTGCATTCATTGTTTAACTTTGAGTGTCAGGTATTTTTCTCAGCAATGAGAAAAGTAACTCAGATACTGATCATTTTTAGCCTAAATTTTACTTTGTCTGAGAGAAAATTTATACCCCTAATTGTCTTTAGGGTCCTGGTGCATGAAACATTGCTTCCATTTTTTGATTTTTAGTGTAAAATATCTTTTTGGATTATCTGAGATTTAGGAGGGCAATAGACTGTTAGATTCTGGTTTTTTTTGATCCAGATTTGTGTCCTTTAATTGCTACTTGAGTATATTAATATTGAGAGTTATTATGGAAAGGAATTGATTTATTCATTGTATTTTCTGTTGAAGACTTCTTTGTTGTTCTTTTTTATTGTTTATCTTTGTATCTTGTTTGGTATATTCATTGTGTCAGACTTTTTGGCTTTGTTGACTCCATTGTTTTTGTCTAGGATATTCTTGACCATTTTCTTTCCTTCTCATTTCATTTTTTTTTTGAGAGAGTTTTGCTATGTATTTCAGGCTGGCCTCGAAATCACTATGTAGTCTAGACTGGCCTCAAACTCAAAGCAATCCTCCTGCACCAGCTGTCTGAGGGCTGGGATTATAGGTATGCATCACCATGCCTGGCTCTTGAGTATTTCATGCAGAGTTGGTTTGGTATGTGTCTAAGTTACTTTCTCATTCCTGAGATGAAATAACCAATACATAGAAATTAAAAGACAAAAGATTTATTTTAAAGCACAGTTTGCAGAGGTTTTAGTCCATAGTCAGCTGGTTTCAAGACTGGGAAGCATGGCAGAGAAAAAACAGCTCATGGCAAGGCAGACAGGAAGCAGCCATTAAGGAAAGAGGGGAAAAATATGTTAGAATGGTGAACTGCAGGCATTCAGGGAAAGGAAAATATCATGATGTTTTTCAACAAATTATGTTACCCTCATACGGGAACCCTAGAGGCAATCATAGAAAACCCATTACACTGCTGGCCCTTAGAGACAGAAATTAAAAATGCATGTGCAGCACTCTTAATGAACAAGTTATTCAAGTAGCAGTTCACCATACTAATAAATATTTGTAAACTAATGACCACCACTTTGAGCTTCCCTTATAGTTGTAGAGGCCAAAGTTATCTTGTGCTAATCTCATGACATGTCAATAAATTTAGTAATAAGATACTTATGCAAGTTTTTTTAGTAATAAGGTACTTAGGCAAGTTTTTCTTTTCCTGAAGTATGTATACATTCTTTTGCACTATCTCTGTCTCTCTCTCTCTGTCTCTGTCTCTCTCTCTCTCTCTCTCTCTCTATATATATATATATATATATGTATATATTCATACACACATACATATATACATATAAGCAAATATATCTATATCTGTCTATATATAAAGGAGAGGGAGAGAGTTTTTTTTCCTTTTTGGAGACACAGGTTGATTCACACTACCTACCCATCATCTCCTCCTCAACTGTGGATAACATATCCATCCCACCCTGCACTTGGTGCACATCAGGGTGAGCCATTGTGCACTGTGGCATTGGACACAACAAATATATCTGCATGCTAAACTTCCTTATGGAAGGCTTGAATTTTTAAAAAATTTTTGTAGTACTGAGGATCAAGTTCAGGGCTGGGTGGAATGTTGGCAACTCCTGTACTACTGAGCTCCATCCTTGACCCATACAAACTCTGGAGCTCTTAAATCTGTAGAATGAGAGTGGTGGAACTGGCTTTGTGTTGAGGGTGATAAGAAGGCCTCTGCCCAAAAACATTCTTGTTTTTTTGCTCTGCAGATAGCTGCTACAAAGTCAGGACTCTCCCATTTCAGAAACAGCTTCCGTCCAGACACTGGAGACGAGAAGCACTGGATACCAGACAAAGTGTGAGGCCTTACTTTGGACAAGGTAGATACCTGTTCTCTTTGAGGATGGTTTGGTTATGTTTCTAAGTCTTCACAGACTGGAAGCTTGGTGCCAGTATGGAATATGAGAGTTGGTAAAGATTTAAGAGGTAAAGCAAATGAGAGATGATTAGCTAAGTGGGGACAGTGCCCAAGCAAAAATTAAGGCTGGTGTCTCTGAATAGATTGGCTCTCCTGACAGTGAGTTGTTCTAAAGTCCTGGATAGAGCCCTGTTTTGTGTCTGCAGAGCCTTATCTGGGCAACTCCTGCTGACTGAGCTGTAAGAATAGTGGTAGGGGCAAGGCTAAGAGGAGACTGAGAGGGGGCTGCAGTTTCTGAGAAAGCATCCAGAGTCATGGCCACAGTGCAGATCCATGGGAGGGGTTTCTGACCTGGGGTTCCAACTCTGTGTTAGAGCCAATTGGGAGGCAATAGAGGCTACAATTGGGTGTCTGGAATTAGGGTAAACTGAGGCCCAGGAATTAAGGAATCATTCCTGATCCTGGCCAGTTTCCGCACTAGTATCTTAACCCTTTATTCTTAGTCCTGTTAGGCATTTGAAGCAGGAGTCCTTTGTCACCCATTATTCCACTTTAGCCTCACTACAGTCCTAGAGAGAGGGGTTATTAGTTCCATTTTCTGAGTGGAAATCAGTGGCCCCAAGAAGGATTATAGCACATGGATAAGAGCATGGTGAGTCTGTGTGCACAGAAGTAGGTAGAGGGAGCCGATTCTGCTGTGCAGACCTAGTGTGTAACTAGAGGTAAACACACTTTACCTCTCCCAGTCTGAATTTCCTCACCTTCAAGGCTAAGGGAAGTATTCTCATCTTTTAAGGTTGCTGAGGGCATGCAATCTGATTGCTTAGATTTGTGACCTGAGGATACTGCTCCACAGAAGAGGTCAGACACTTTGGCTGCTGTGGTTCTGCTGCTGCCTCCACCCACTGAATTCAGTGGAGGAACATCTGACCCTAATCAGAGCCAGCTCGGTTAAATGTGACATGGATTGTTCTTGCCATGTTTCTTCCCAGTCCCACCCAATGCCCGCCCTCTAGCTGATGAGTAAAGACTCTCCTGTGAATTGCAAAGCTTTTATTGCTGGAATCCTCTAGTCAGATACCTGGATGTGGTGGGTTGCTGAGACTACATAGTGATCAGGCAGGTGGCTTCTGTGGGTCTCTAGGCATGGATGGATCATTTAACAGTAAGGGCTTGAGTATATTTTCTCCTGCAAAGAGAATGTCAGGGAACTTGGTGAGGCTTCAAGGGTGAAAGAGACATCAGGCACCTGAACACTCACTGAACCCTTCCTGGGAGGATCCTGAGGTTGAATTTTAAGTGTGGAACTTTGATCTAGAGAGATAAAAACAAGTGGGTCCCAGCCTCCTGCACCAGCAGAGTGTTCTGAGGGTTGCCTGAGGCCGCACCCCAACAAGAAGAGGAGAGAGATTACTCTTTGTGATGGAGGTGTGGCATGATGTGGGCTAGAGTGCAAAGGCACTGATGAGAAGGACCTGGCAGAGTTAGTTTGAACGAATGCCAATCAGCTTCCTAGTTCTACCCCTCATACTTGTGGACAGTGGAGTAACCTGTCCCCGGCATCTCTTGGGAAAGGAGGCAGAGGCTTCCCTCTGATTCTCCACCTGAGGTTCTAGGGTGGAGAAGGCAGGAGGAGGGCTGTGGTGGCTGTCTCCTTTCCTGGCACACAATGCACAAAGTGATCCTTTGGGATGGAAAACTGAGAGTTTTAGAGGGAGAAATGGGAGTTGAACAATTAGAAGGTGGGCAGAATCCAGTGTCATTGGTTTGAAGAGGCTCCAGACTAGTGTGCTGGAGAGGCAGGGGTCAGGGATGTTAGAGCCGAGGGGCTGAAACAGAGGCTGGGAGGTGGCATAGGGACAGAGGCTCATAGAAATCCTTAAAAAGAAAAAGAAAGTAAGAAATGAAAAAGAAACTGTCAGGCTGGTATGGCAGAGCTGAGCACCAGTGGCCCACCCCAAATCTTAAGGGCTGCATTGCCTTTTCCTTCTACAGGTGGCATCTGCTCCATCTATTGTAATGTCTCATATGTCAGGCTCTTTTTCCTTGTAGATTTCAGAGAAGGGCCATGTGGGAAGGAGAATGAAACCTCCTCATTCTGTTTCATACACCGAATATGACAGACCCCTAGGCAGTCACAGGAACACAGTCAGACACTGGCAGACTCACCAATGCACTGGATGCATTCTCCTTGTCCTTATCTGTTAACTTGCCATCAGAACATTGTTTAACAGAGGAGGCGGCGGCCAGTGTTTCAGGGTCGTTTATGTATTTTGCCATGAAGCTATTATACTCATCAGATGTTCCATGTATGAATAGGTTAACATGCTCTTCCACAGTTGGGCAAATCTCACCATCTGGAACATAAAGACAAGATGAGCCTCCCTATGACATTCTCATCAGGACACCTTCATCCCCACTTCCATTCAGCATGTTCAGAACTGCCCTGAAAAAGTCTGAAGCCCCAGAAAATCCACACCCCACACAGCCACATTCCAAGCACCCACTTGTGCCTGAGATCAGGAGCAAGGCAGCCCCAAGCAGCAGAAGAGCAGTAGGCGGCTTCATGGTGCAAGTGGCAGGTGCTCCCTTCCCAGCTCTGTGTCCTTTTATTGCTGCTCTGGGGTCACTGTGGGGCAATCAGTGCCTGTGTCTGACAGAGCCAGGAGAGGGGGAATGACTTGGGGCTGTGGCAGCGGAGGTAAGTGTGTTGGCAAGAAGATAAGCCGCAGAGTCAACGAAGGTTCTAGCTCTTCCGTCTCTCCTTTTTAGGCCTCTGTCCAAGGTCAGGGGACCTGAGCAGCTGAAGATATAGAATCACAGGGAAACCTGCCTAGGGAAAGGACCAAAAGTGCAAAATTAGACTCCATCAGAGGTGGAGGATGGTGGCACACTTCTGTAATCGTAACACTCAGGAGGCTTTGCTAGAATGTTGCTCTGAGTTGAGGGCACCTAGGGCCACATAGATAATTCAAGGTCAGTATGAATTACATAGTAAGACTCTGTATGGAAGAAAAAGAAAAAAATTAAAACAAAAATTTCCAACACCTCAAACAACAAAATTATATTACAGATTGATATTCCATGTCAGCTTCCCATACCTGTTGTGACTTTAATATTAATCTGATTATGACTTTGTGAACTTTTTGGGGAAACAAGACTGGGTATTGAAATCAGGGACTATGCACTGAGCTATGTCTCCCTTTTAATATTTTATCTTGGGAAAGGTTTTTTCTAACTTGCTAAGTTATCCTGGCTGTGTTTGAACTGGTAATCCTCTTGCCTCAGCTTTTCTGAGTGCTGGAACTATTGGCATGCACCACAATGACTTAGGATGACTTTATGGAGTTTTTCCAGTAACCCAGAGATGAACTAAAATCTTGACATCTAGTGTGTGTCAAGGCAGGACAGGTGGAAGGATTCCTCATAACCTCATAGTTTCAGGGTGTCCCAGCTTTCATCACAACTGCTCTGTGGTCTCCCAGGAGCTGATTTCCTAGGGAGCTGTTCCAGCAGCCCTCAGTTTTTGCCTTAATTCTCTGGCCCTGAGGTTACAGTTGTCTTTGAAGTTGACTGTTTGTCTTTAAGTAGCTAGTTGTCTCTGACTATGTCCTGCCACCCAATACTTTGAGAATACCTGAAAATTCAAGAGATTTCATCATTTCCTCCGAATCTTTTTCTCCTTTTGACTTCAACTATCACCTGAGCCAAACTGTATCCCATCTGTGGCCCACTATTCTGTTCTTGCAGAGCTGGGGGTGGAAGCTCAGGCCTGGCCATGCTGGGCATGTAGTCTGAAGCTGAAGTGGATCCCCAGCCATTTTCTGTTTTGTGATCAGGCCAACCTTGTCCCTCAGCTGGGCCTTCCTATGTGCCTCCCTCCCTGCCTGAAACACCTCCTCCAATTAGCACAAGATTTCCTGTCTAACTACCTAGATGGCTTCTAATACCACCTTCTGAGGGAGATGGCCTAGTTTGGGCTGAATGCTCTTTGTCCCCACTGAAACTCAGAGTGAGGCTTGATTCACAATGTGGCAGTGTTAGAGGTGGGGTCGTGGGAGTGGAGTCCTCAGAAATGAATCAGTGGTTTTCTCCCCTGAGAGAAGTCTCAGTCTTGTGGCACTGGGTTAGTCCCTATGCCAGCAGGGTTTAATTAAGCTGACTTTGGTGTTTCGTGCTTTCTCTTGCTAGGCAGCGCACATTCCCAAGAGTCCTTCTGCCATCCACTCTGAGCTGAGACACCATAAGACTGGCTGCAATGTGAGAGTGTTGTAGAGCCTGGAGATGTGGACAGCCAAAGAATTTACTCAGAGAAAAATATAAATAAAAAGAATGGTTTATGAAATCAAAGTTCACTGTCATGATTGCACCAGACAAAGGAGATAGACAGCTGAGAGCAGGGCAGTGTTAATCTCAAGGGTAAAGGGTGGAGTGGAGATTGCCCCTCGAAGGAGGGAGTGGCTTGAACCCATAATATGCTGGGAAGGCTAGAACCATGTATTCTTTGCCTCCTTTGGGAATATCAGTGTCCACTATCCCTGTGACAAAGTGTGAGACAGGGGTAGGCACCAAAATAATAGACACATGTGGTACAGGAGGAAATGCCAATGGCCATTTTTCAGCAAGTTTCTGTAAGTTCATCTTGAAGCAGAGTAGAGGATTCATATGCAGAACTGAGGCTGGACTGGCCTCTCCCTGCTTCCTTAGCACTCTACCACTCTACCGTAGAGTCAGTTCTTCAGTATTTGGACAGAGGCCTTGGCTGCTTCAGGCCAGATGTGGGTGGTGATGGGCCCCAATTAGTTCCTTGAGCAGTCAGTGTGGTCAGATTGGAAATGAAAACTTTGAGCATTGCATGATACAAAGTATGTGGGTAAGAGCTGAGCAGGAAAGATGGCATCCATGTTGGATCAGCAACACTAACCTGGTATAGACAAAACACATAACCATGTTAAGGATGGGTGGGGCTAGATAAGCGGAGATGTTATTGGCAGGCCTGGTAGATTATGTTTCAATGACCTGGACAGCTATGATTTTGGTACAGTTCTCTCTGATCATTGTTATGAGACCTTAATAGTTAAGTAAATTTCCTTGCTAACTGTTGGCTGTACTTCTTGTTTGGTAGTTGATGCAGATGACTGCATCTCGATTTACATAGCTGTTGTGTTTTTAAATCTCTTTTTATCCTTTCGAGAGTCTCTTATAAACTTAGGAAACAGTGTTAATGCCCAGAGATAGCTTGATGTACAAATGTGTCTGATTTATACTATAAAATGTTTATTTGTTTGAAACTAATATATATAGATCAAATATTAAATGGCAGGATTGAATTATACAGAAAAAGAACAAAGAAGTCAAGAGATTTGGCTCCTTTTATATGTTTCAGTTCCAGATGTAATGTATGGTGTAAAGAAAAAAAGCAGTCACTGACCACCCAGTAAGTTTAATAATTCATTCTTTTGTTTTTTTAATTTTAAAGAGAAAAACAATAAAAACACTGATATTGAATTTCAAAACAAGATAATAGCAGATTAATAATGGTTAATATATTATGTATTGTTATCTTCAGTGTAGTTGCTCAGATTACAAAATATAGCCATAAAAATTTGATCGAACAATATAATAAACTGTTCTTTTTAATGAATGAACAGAAATTAGTAGTAGTAATCTTAACTATCATATATATTATATAATATATATTATATAGTGTGTATACATATTATATACATACATTTTCCTTTCTTCTTTTCTCCTTTCCACCATTCCAGTTCTTTCCTTTTGAGCAGTTTCTTCTCCTTTTAATCTCACAATATCTATTGTAAATTTGACTCTTTTATCTTTCAGTTTCTTACATTAAAGAGACAATATGATGTTTGCACATATGAGTCTGATTTATTTCATTTATGAGTGTGATCTCAGCTTGCGTTCATTTACATATAAAAGCCACATGATTATCTTTCTTTATTGCTGAGTAGTATTGCATTGTATAAAAATAACACATCTTTTTTATCCATTCCTTGATTTATTTTGCTTTATTTTATTTTAAAGAGGATAAAATCAAGGAAAATAAAATAGAATAAAACCTGTTTAAACAAACCAGTGTAAATGATACAGTACTCCAAACAATATGAAGTCAACAATAGTTACCATAATGCCTCTTGTCTTCAAAATAGCTGCTAAAATCAAACATAATAGAACCAATAAAAACAAAATAAATGCAATAAAGAACTTAAGACAATAGTGAGTCCAAAATGGCTACATTAATATATCTTGCTATCTTTGAAATAGCTGCTCATGCCATCGGATACAGCAAAATCAAACAAAACAAAAGAATAATAAAACCCAACCCAACAAACAATGAAAATAATATAAGTCTTCAAAACAATACAATAGGGGATCAACAATGGCTACTACCCTAAGAAGGAGATTGCCCCTAGATGCCATACTGCATACTTCTATCCTCTGAACAGATGATCAGACTACTGTCTCTAGACCTGCAAGGTCAATGAAACACTAAAACACTACAAGCATCAAATTGCATTTCACCTCAATAGCTATCATCACAGCCTGTGTGTTTCCAGATCAGCTGGTAACTTACGGTGGTGGTGGGGTGCATAGTGGGATTGGTTCTTCTTGTTTGCCAGCCAGCATGCCAGAAGGGACCTTGAACTGGCTGTCCCCATGCTAGTGGTGGCCCATGCATAGTGCTGGTTCACAAGGGGCACTTGATCCTTTTTTTCAAAGGTAGTTAATACAACAGAACAAGACAGAACAAAGTCAATCAAAACAACACAGCAAAATTGGTACAGAACTTCACAGCAGGACACCAGGTTAACAGCAATAGGTACCATAGTATATCTTGTTATCTTCACAATATTTGTCCACTCAAGTAAGTATAGCAAAATCAAACCGAAAACAGAACATTATAAAACCTATCAAAACAGAATACTGAATAGAGCAGAATAATTACAGAACAAAGCAAAACAGTGAAAACAACATCTGCCTTCAAACAGAAGATATAGAGAAATCCCCTATATTTGCTGTGCTACACACAGTCATCCTTTCAAGAGATGCTCAGATCTCTGGTCCCTAGCAGCTAATGGGGAGGGGGAGAGGAGGGAGTAGGATGTTTGCACTGATATGATTATGGGAGATGCTGACTGGTTCTCTTCCTGGCCTGCCCGCTGCTTACCTGCACCAGTGCTGCTTACCAGGAAGGGAGGTGCACCACTTTCTTGCTCAGGGGAGCTTGATTCTTGATGAGTCTTTGTTCCTTCCTCCACTGTCTGCAAATGGCCCTGACTCATGGGAAAAGGCTTGGGTCTGGCTGCCACTGTGCCGGTGGTGGCCCATGCGTGGTGCTGGTTCATGGTGTGATTTGATCCTTGGTGAGTCCTTGTTTTCTCCCTGCAGTCTGCAAATCCATTCCTCAACTGATGGACATTTGAGCCGTTTCTAAGATTTAACTAATGGAAATTGTGCTGCTAAAACATGGATGGACATATATCACTGTGGTATGATGTTTTTAATTCTTCTGGGAAAGTACCCAGAAGGAGACTAGTTGTGTGTAATGGGACTTACAATTCTAGTTTTTTGAGGAACCTCTACATAGATTTCCACACTGATTGCACTGGCCTGCACTCCTACCAACAGTGGAGAAGAGCTCCTTTTTCCCCACAGCCTCTCCAACATTTGTAATTGGTTGACTTCTTGATGATAGTCATTCTTTCTTGGTGAGATGGAATCTCAGTGTTGTTTTAATTTGTATTTCTTCAATATTGAACATTTTTTCCATATATTTACTTTCCTTTGTATTTCTTAATCTGAGAAGTGCCTATTTGTCTCAGATGCTCACTTTTGAACTGAAACTCATGTCTCTTTAGTTTCAACTTTGCATAGCTACATACAATTCAATTCTCATCATATGTTTACACACTTATAATCCAAGATATGTAGAGTGCTAAATATAC